TGGTAGAATTCCCCAGGGAAACCATCAGGTCCAGGGCTCTTATTTGTTGGGAGATTTTTGATCACTGATTCGATTTCTTCACTCGTTATGGGTCTGTTCAGGTTTTCTATTTCTTCCCGTGTGAATTTTGGTAGTGAGTGTGTGTTTAGGAATTTGTCCATTTCTTCTAAGTTGTCCAATTTGTTGGCATATAATTTTTCATAGTATTCCCTGATAATTGCTTGTATTTCTGAGGGGTTGGTTGTAATAAGTCCATTTTCATTCATAATTTTGTCTATTTGGGTGCTCTCTCTTTTCTTTTTGATAAGCCTGGCTAGAGGTTTGTCAATTTTGTTTACTTTTTCAAAAAACCAACTCTTGGTTTCATTGATCTGTTCAATTGTTTCTTTGGTCTCTATGTTGTTTATTTCTGCTCTAATTTTTACTATTTCTCTTCTTCTACTGGGTTTAGGGCGTTCTTGTTGCTCTGCCTCTAGCTCCTTTAGGTGAGCTGTTAGATTTTGGACTTGTGCTTTTTCTAATCTCTTGAAATAGGCCTGGAGAGCAATGTACTTTCCTCTTAGGACTGCCTTGGCCGCATCCCATAGATTTTGAATTGTTGTGTTTTCATTTTCATTTGTTTCCATATATTTTTTAATTTCCTCTCTAATTGCCTGATTGGCCCATTCATTCTTTAGAAGGGTGTTCTTTAACCTCCATGTTTTTGGCGGTTTTCCAGACTTCTTCCTGTAATTGATTTCAAGTTTCAAAGCATTGTGATCTGACAGTGTGCATGGTATGATCTCTATTCTTTTATATTTATTGAGGGCTGCTTTATGTCCCAGTATGTGATCTATCTTGGAGAATGTGCCATGCGCACTTGAGAAGAAAGTAAATTCCCTGGCCTCAGGATGTAAAGTTCTAAATATATCCGTCAGATCCATCTGGTCCAATGTGTCTTTCAAGTCCATTATTTCTTTAGTGATTTTCTGTCTGGTTGACCTATCCATTGCTGTAAGCGGAGTATTAAAGTCCCCTGCTATTAGCACATTCTTATCTATAAGCTTGTTTCTGTTTGTGATTAATTGTTTTAGATATTTAGGTGCTCCCATATTCGGTGCGTAGACATTTATGATTGTTAGTTCTTCCTGATGGATGGACCCTGTAATTATTATGTAGTGCCCTTCTTCATCTCTTGTGATTGTCTTTAATTTAAAGTCCAGTTTGTCTGATATAAGTATCGCTACTCCGGCTTTCTTTTGATTTCCTGTAGCATGATATATATTTCTCCATCCCCTTACTTTTAATCTGAAGGTATCTTCCCGTCTAAAATGAGTTTCTTGTAGACAGCATATTGATGGATTTTGTTTCTTAATCCATTCTGCTACCCTATGTCTTTTGATTGGAGCATTCAGCCCATTTACATTCAGTGTTATTATTGAAATATGTGGGTTTAGAGTCTTTGTATCTTTTGTAGGGTTCATGTTTGTGGTGGTGTCTCTGGTATCTTTGTTCCTTGCAACCTTTCCTTCAGAGCATCCCCCTCAGGATTTCTTGTAGGGCTGGCTTCGTGGTGACAAATTCTTTCAATTTCTGTTTATTTGGAAAGGTTTTTATCTCTCCTTCTATTTTGAATGACAGGCTTGCTGGATAGAGGATTCTTGGCTGCATATTTTTACTGTTCATCACATTGAAGATTTCCTGCCATTCCTTTCTAGCCTGCCAAGTTTCAGTAGATAGGTCTGTCACCACTCTGATAGGTTTCCCTTTGTATGTTAGGGCCCTTTTCTCCCTAGCTGCTTTCAAAATTCTCTCTTTGTCCTTGTATTTGGCCATTTTCACTATGATATGTCGTGCAGAAGATCGATTCAGGTTACGTCTGAGGGGAGTCCTCTGAGCCTCTTGTACTTCCACATTTACTTCCTTCCCCAGGTCGGGGAAGTTCTCTGCTATAATTTGTTCCAGGACTCCTTCAGCACCTTTCCCTCTCTCTTCCTCTTCTGGGATTCCTATGATACGGATATTGTTGCGTTTGACCGTATCGCTGAGCTCTCGAATTCTTCTTTCCTGTTCCTGGATCAGTTTGTCTCTTTTTTTGTCAGCTTCTTGTTTTTCTATAATGGTGTCTTCTAAATCACTTATTCTCCTTTCTGCCTCTTCAATCCGTGCATTGGAGGCCTCTAATTTATTATGGATCTCATTTATCGCATTTTTTAATTCTTCATGCCTATTTTTATTTTCCATTCTGTCTGTAGCCATAGTTTCTTTGATGTCCCCTATGTTTTTTTCAAGCCCAGCTATTAATTTTACCATTATTATTCTAAAATCTTGTTCAGTGATGCTGCTGATATCTGTTTTGAGCAGTTCATTAGCTGTCATTTCTTCTTGGAGTTTCTTTGGAGGAGAGGTCTTTCGTTTCGTCATTTTAGTTAGCTTTCCGGCTCTTGTTGGTTTTAAAGACCTATTATTCTCTCTGTTTCTATGAGCACTGCTATATCCAAGAAGGCTCTTTGACTTTCCAGGGCCTACCCTTTCAGAGAGTGTTTTTTGAATGGTATCCCCTGGTCTCTCTTGTTGGGACCTTGGTTATTTTATTTTCCTATTCGTAGTGATATTTGGGACTCTCCACCTTGTGCACTCTAGCTTGTTTCTTGAGGTAGCCCTGGAAAAGAAAACAGACAGACAAACACACAGGGAGCAGGAGCACACAAACGCACAGGCTAATTCAACTAACATGCAAAGCGAGAGGGAAAACGAAAAAGTTAAGAGAAAAGATGGAGCAGGGAGGGCGAATAATATGGAGTATAAAGTACATAAATGGGTCAAAAAAGGGGAAAAGAAAAGGAAAAAAAAAAAAGAAGATAACCGATGGACAAAGAACGGTTTAAAGCATATACCTGGATTTCCCAGCTACAGTTAAATAGCCGTGTGTATGCAGTGCTGGTTGAAGAGCATAGAGAAAGAGAGAGAAGACAGGGCAGGGATGAGGCAGAATCGGAATAGAATGAACAGGCAGAAGGGATAAGAAGCTTTTCTCAAAGAGCTAAAGGGTGGAATATGGTTGGAGAGGTGAGAGAAGGATGCTGGAATTGTCCAGAGAAATTATATAGTCTAATTACTCCTGAGAGAAAGAGATGAAAAGGTCGGTAGGTGTGGAATTTACATTTACAGAATGGACTCGTTGTGATTGTTTAAGCAAGCTGGCGACCAGAGTTAGTCAGGTCAGTGTTCTGGGGAAAAAAGAGAGAAAAGAGAAAGAAGAAGAAAAAAAGAAA